TGCCTAAAACTTTTGCACAGTACTGTATATCCCTCGCCAACCCTCCAAACTATGCAATCTTTTCTCCTGAGGATGAGTCATGTGTGGCCCCCAGTTGTTGTTGAACCTCAATTCCCCTTAGCCCTAGCAAGCAAGATCAAAGCGGTGAGATATGGGAATTGCACCTGAAGAACATCTGGAAGAACATAAATGTACATATAAGCAATATGCTTTGTATGGAGGACATATATATTTTCTGAATCATGAGACTTCAAAGACAGAAGGAGACTCTCAAAAAGGCAGATAAATAGGTGGACGGAAGTAAAAGTAGTCTCAGTCCCTTTAAAGAATATGACTTTTCATCTAAGCAGCAATTTGAAAGAGTGTCCCTCAGGCCTTTTTGCCACTGAACTACACATACAGATTACACATTCCATGCTCTCTTTTAGAATGGCTACTTCTGTCTGTCTGATATTCTATCAGATTTTTTCCTTGATGCACTGTAAGATGCTTTTGGCCAGTAGAATGTATTGTTTTCTTTCACAAATCATAATTTATGTTTGAAGCTCAGCATCTGCATCTACTTCACAAGCATATAGGTGATAATGAGATTTCATTTGGGTAACAGCTTTTATCTGCTGAAAAACTATGATTCTAATAGGTTCTATTTCTAATTCTAGAGTTTTTCTTGGATCCAAGAAATAAAATTTAGTTAAAACCACACAAATTGTAGGTTTATCCTTCTTAACCGCCCTCCCCCAATACACTGGCTTGAAATAAGTAAATAAATCACATTATTGGAGCGAGGGCTACAATTTTAGGCAGAAGCTATTATTGTTTCATTTTCCTATTGTGTGGAAGGAAAATTGTCTCAGTGCTGTAACCTATTTATTTACTCAGGCAGTATGATGTATTTCACCCAAAGAAGTATCCAAAGGGGCAATCTTCTCTAAACTCTCTTGTATATTAGTTATGTTCAGACACTGGAATCTTATCAAAAACTGTATGCAAATATTTAATAAATACAGTGTAACATTAAAAATAAATTTAGCTTTTGCTTCTAGAAAATTCTGGCATGATCCAAAAATGCTATATGTCAGTGCTGTTATATTCCAAACCTGTTCCCCTTTAACATCTTGTGATTTTCCAATCTTATGGTAAGTCAGTCCTGGTCATGCATCTTGTTTGGAGAGATGGTAAGACCTGTAGGAGATAAGGACCCCATATCCCTTTTACAGAAAATCATTAGTGGAAACAGCTAAAATGTCATCTTAATAAAACTAGAAGGAATACTTGAACTGGAACAAGTAATCTATATAAAAACTTTGCTTATTTCTGTAAACAGCCTGATATACAGTGGAGGGGAATAAAAAAAGCAAGGGTGAAATTATCCTACTAAATATTAGCACATAATTTAAAAAATCTGATGGCTGAAATGATATACATCAACCCAAGCTGCCACTAGTGAGCTATTTATGCTTTCTCAAAAGGACCAACCTTTCTCTAAAAAGTTATGCAAAAGGAGCAAAGCTGGTACTTCTTCTCAGACTGGAGATCAAATGAAGTTTTCTAACTGAAACGTACATTTTTCCTTTATAAGATCAGGACTATCATTAGGGATTTAATTCATCCACTGAAAAATGTTCAAGTTATTTGCTTACATTGATAAAAATTCAAACACAATATTGTGCTTTTAAGTAGCAGTAAATTAAGGGAGATGAAGTTCTCTGCCTCAAACAGCAGTCCTCATCCTAAAACGCAGGTATTTAGAACAAATGAATGTTTATTCTTTTTGAGTGCACTCTATAGTACAAAAATGTTTGCATTATAGAGATACAAACAAAAAAGGCCAAATTAAAAAAAAAAATCTGTAATGGAATGGTAAACCTAAGCTTTAAAAAACTCCATGAAAATAGAAGAAGTTCACTTCTAGAAGTTTAGAACAGAACAAATGATAACCATTTGAAAAGAAAGTAAAATTAAGAAAGTAGAATGCAGCACATGGTAAGTTTTCAGCACTTCTTATGCATAAAATTAAAATTAGCATAAAATTAGCCAGGTTATATTATTAGAACAAAATTATTTATGCATCCAAGACTCAGAAATAGTTATATGAATTATGCTGCTGATAAAGGTTTTGTTCTCCTTATCTCTACTTCTCTTTTGCTCTTGAAAATCAAATCTCCTTTTTTCTGTTTGATTCACAGCACACTATACAGTGTTTAAAAATGGGATTGTTGCTATTATATGTAATTTGACCTTAAGGCATGATCTCCCATAGCAAGTTTTGTTTCTGAAAACATACAAATGAACAAAATATTTAATATACTTAAAGAAACATCCAATATTTCATTTTATGTATATTTTATTTTAAAAAGGAGTCAAAGAAATGTTGTTTTAAGAATACCTATATTCTTCCTTTTTACACTTTTTATTATTAACACTTAAAAAAACATTCAAACACTGAGGAAAAATTAAATAACTTTGGAAGCAGAACTCCTTTCTTTTCTGCCTACATACATACAATTCTGAGCTGTTGACACAAAACCCCCTCCCACATTCATAAAACCCCTACAACTATTGTCAAACATAAATTAAATAAATCATAGGCACTAGTTTATCATATTCATGTTTCCACACTTCAATATACCCAAACCTCTAAAACACAGAAAGTCATAGGATGTCCTGGCAATCAAATAAACTGACAATGTGAAAGTCTCCTCTAATTACACTTTTTTCAGGAATCTAAATTTGCTGGACGTTTATTACAATGTGGCAGTAGGAGGATGCTCTTAGAACTTAATACACTGTCAAAATAATGTAAGAGGTGATGCATAAAAACAACACTTATAAATTAAGGTGATGCAGCTTAGTAAAAAAGGCAACATCTGGATGTATGAATAAAATATTCAGTTAAATATTTTTCTAGTAAAGGTAGAAATGAGAATGTCTTCACTTATGAAGATTGCAATGTCTGCTTTGCTAGAGCCCCATTTTAGAAATCAGGCTAGGTAAAGTTACCTAAAAATATTTGGACACCTCATGTTTTCTGCTCAGCACTTTAAATATATTGGACTAACAGTGCAAAACAGCTTGGTTAACTTCTCCTCCCACAATTATTGGCTACACTGATTTAAGAAGACACTCCAGTTCAATTCTTTTTGATATGATTTGACTGTAATTTAGGATGCTGTAATAGTAACATTCTCAGTTAAAGGAATGTCACTTCCCACACTGTGCTTGTGATTCATAGAAGTGCAAGTAATTCCACTTTGTAAAACTGTATGGTGAGAATGAACTCTCCAAAGTCTTCATCATGCCCATGTCTTACTTGTCAGGTGATTTATGCATGAAAGATCTATCAGTGTTTCTCAACCTTGGCAACTTTAAGATGTGTGGACTCCAGCTCCCAGAATTCCCCTG